AGCACAACGCGGGGGATGGCATGTGGTGGCGGATCCGTTCTCGGAAAAACAGATCAACTGGACCGACCCACCGCTAATTTTGTGCGAGTTCCAAGGAAAACGGGCGCCGACAGCCGCGCCGGCCAGGCCAGCATTCGCCCGCGCGGTGGGCGGTTCGGCGGCGGGTCCGCGGGACGCTGGCGGCAAACTCAAACGTCGCCAACTGCCCTGCTCACAGTCAGCACTGCGGCCTTGCCGGCCCTTGCCGGGCCTTGCCGGGCCTTGCCGGGCCTTGCCGGGCCTTGCCGGGCCTTGCCGGGCCTTGCCGGTTTGTCCTCGGTTTGTCGGTTTGTTCTGAGAAAGACCGCCACGACCGCCAGCGCCAGCACCGCCGGCCACGCCACCGACAGCGTAGTCGTGGTCTCGTCGTCGTCGTGCACGACGGCCGACGGCGGCGCCCCGGCTCCACGCGCAGGACGCTTTTCCTCCCGGGAACAGGGACCCAGTGAATGAGGGAGTGGGGTGGGGGTAACGATGTAGGGTAGAGGGTTGAAGGGCAGGCAGGGAAGAGTCGGTGGCGTGCTCCTCTCAGCCCCCCTCACCCTCGAAGAGCGAAAAAAAAGAAGCTTTGCCGTGTAGACCGCTGCAAAGCCTCACCGGAGACGCGCTCACGAATGCTCTCTTCAGAACGTGCAGAAAGAGGGAGGGGAATCCGGACTTTTTATTGGAGGGGCGGGGGGCCAAAGTCCACACACACACACTCGCAAACACACACACGCACACACACTGAGCGCGCAGAGGCTCAACAGCCACGCAAATTGAATGCATTGCCGCCACTTTCCGGCGGCTCGATGCGGTGTTCCCCCACTCCCCACTCTCCACCCCCACTCTCCACCCCCACTCCCCACTCCCCACTCACGTCCCCAGGTGATCCCGGGGGCGCATCTCACGGCTTCCGTCCCACGCCACCCCCTTGGAACAAAGGGAAAAAATAAAGAGAAAAAGGACCTCTGCGGTTGAGATTACTCGTCGAGATAAAAAGACAGGCGGGCAGGCTGGCGCCCAGGCGGGCGGGCTCGGCTTGAGTGGAGTCAAGTCCACGCTGCGGGCCGGGACTGCGGGACTGCGGGACCCTCGTAGTCAGATTCCGAGCAGCGCCGTGTCTCTCTCGCAGCGCTGGGGCGCGCCGTGCGGCGCCGTGAGTGCGAGGAAGACAGAGCGACCAAGGCCTTCACGCTGTTGCCGCGACGCGCACAGAGTGTGGAGAGCGGCGGCACCGCGTGCGGGGCGTGAGGGGCACGTGCACAGGGCGCCCCGCAGTCGCTCTGTCTCCCTCGCACCCGCACGGCCTTACGGCACCCTCACGGCACGGCCCGCGAGTGCGAGAGAGACAGACGCGTTGTTTTGTCCGCCCCGCCGTCATGATACACCACGGCACGGTGGCATCAGGTACCGCGGCACCGCGCGCACAGTGTTGAGTACTTCCAGAGGAGGCGCGGCAAGGCTCAGCGCGAGCGAGACAACGGCGAACTGGCGGAGGAAGACCCTGAGTGGGAGCGGGCCTCTGTCTCTCTCGCTCTCACGGGGCCTCACGGGGCGCGCCGGGCGGGTGCGAGAGAGAGGGAGAGGACGGCGGGCAAGGCGGGCAAGGCCGCGTGGGCGGCCGTAAGCGGAAGCAGTAGCACTAGCTTCCGAGGGTCGCCGGAGAGAGAGAGACAGAGAAAGTTTCTGAGCACGACCGGGAGGAGGCAGGCAGCACGTGTCCGTATTAGGCTGCGGGTCGAGGAAGACCGAACTTTCTCTCTCTCTCTCTCTTCCCCAGTCATCGCAACGTGACGGTAACGAGGCTCGCTCGGCACATTAGACCGGCCGGGTCTGCATTAATGAGAAAGCCCAGGGCTTGGCGGTGGTCAGGCCACCTCCCCCTCCCCCTCCCCCTCCCCTCCACTCCCCTGATTACCCTGCGAGACGATACCCCGCCCCGCTTCCTGCTCCGTCCTCCACGCGGGCTGGACGCGAATCAGCAAGGCGACACAGGAACGCAAACACCGCCTTTGTCGCCGGTAGGGACGAGTCGGGACGAGTCGGGACGAGCAGACAAAAAGACACAACGGCCCGCGGCCGCGCGCCGAGGGAACGGGACCGACCGCAGGCCAAGGTAGGAGGGCGCGAAGCAGGGCCGGGAGGGGAAGGGGGGAGGGGACATAAATTCCGGTTGGTGTTACAACGCGGGCGTGCCGCGTGCGCGAGCGAGGCGCGTCGCGGGGGCGTGGGGCGCGGCGTGGGGCGCGGCGTGGGGCGCGGGGCAACAACGGTTGTTGTTCTCCACAGCGGAGCGCGAAGCCCTGGGAACGCGTTGCGCGGAACGCAGGTCGGTGGGCGCGAACCGCGCGGGGCTGTAGAGCGAGGGGCCCTTGCTTCGCTTGCTTCGCTTGCTTCGCTTGCTTCGCTTGCTTCGCTTGCTTCGCTTGCTTCGCTTGCTTCGCTTGCTTCGCTTGCTTCGCTTGCTTCGCTTGCTTCGCTTGCTTCGCTTGCTTCGCTTGCTTCGCTTGCTTCCCTTGCTTCGCTTGCTTCGCTTCCCTGGCGGGCCGTTATATTTACGACAAGAGCCGCTGACAAATTCGATCGCTTCAAGACCGGGCTTTGTTGTGCAGGAGAAAAGGGGCACTTTCTCGCGAGTTTTCAACTAGTAGTTCGGTGCGATAAAATAAAAGACGACCGAAAAAAGGGGCATCGTCGCGTGCTGTGGCTGGGTGGCGAACGCGGGTTCTCGGCGATAAACACCTGCGACGCTACGCCCGCCGCCACCATGACCTAGGCGTCGCCGGTTTTTCCTCGCCCACTTTGAGTTGGTTACCAGCAGGGGCGCTCGGCTCGCTTGCCCCATCGGTGTGGCCGGGCCTGTCGGTCTGTCGGCCTGTCGGTCCGTTGATGGTCTACTCGTCCGGCGGCCCCTGTTTGCGCTTGGCACCCCTCCCCTTCCCCTGCCAGCACGGCCGGCAGTGCCAGCCCTTGTTAGACCGACGCCGTGCACGCGCCAGACGGCCTCGCCTGCCCCGGCGAATCCGCCGTGCAGCTCGCCCTTGTTTACCTCACAAATTCAAGACCAACTCTGTTTTTTCCTTCGCGGGACCGGTTCTCTGCTTCTCTTTGTGCACGCCGGCACGGCCCACCTGCAGACACTATGGCAACTTTAAGCCCCTTGTTAAACTTCGCCTCTCTCTATTCGCTGGAAGCGAACATAAAAAACAGCCTCGTCCCGTCTCTGTGTTTTGTTTTTCAAACGAGCCACGCATTTTCTTGCTGCCACCGTTTTACGTTTTCGGGAGGCGCTTTGTCCACGCCAGTCTCCGCCGCGCTGATAGGCCGACGGGGATGGAGACGATCGGCCGCTCTTAGCCACGCCCGCCACGCGCGGCCCTGGCAGCCGCGCGGGGGAGCCATGAGCCATCACTCTGGTTGGCTAGGTGGGCCGCCCTGTCGCCTAATCTCCGCACAGTCTGCAGTGCTCTCTCTCTCTCTCTCTCTCTCTCTCTCTCTCTCTCTCTCTCTCCCACGGGGCGCGGCCTGGCGTGGAAGTGGGAATGTGGGAATCGAGTCGAGGCTCGATAACTGCGGCGTCGGCGCTACCGCCCCGCCCCGCCCCGCCCCGCCGCTGCTACTGGCCGCGGGCTTTCGACGCTCTCGACGACGCCAGAGTGGCAACCGCTGGGAATTAAGAGGAGCGAGGCAGTGGAGGCTCTTAGTCCGCCACTCCGCTCTCAGGGACGCGGCCACGCTGCCGCGCGGGGCACTCAGACAGCAACGACATGGCTCGTCCGCTCCCAGCCCGACAGCCCGACAAGCCAGTAGGCTGATTCCGAGAGGCATCTTCGTCGTCCTGTCTCTCTCGCACCCGCAGCAACGCCCCATGAGTGCGAGAGAGACAAACAGACTCGGAATCGGTGCGCAGAGGCGGCGGCGCCTCGCTCCAGCCCCAGGCCCCAAGGCGCTCCCGCACCCCAATAGAGGGTGCTCAAAACCAAAACCAAAAATAAAGACTTGGCGAGTGTAGTGACCGGCGGCATTATTGGTGTGTGCGTTCCGCCACGTCCGCGTCGCGGCGGCCGGAAAAGTGCGTGCCAGCACGTGCGAATTAGAGGCGGGGATGACGAGGACGACGGGGAGGTGGAGGAATAAATGAAAGCGGAGGCAAAGAGAGCGCGAGAGGTGCCCACCGAGCCCACGTGTGGCCTTGACCGGGGGCAACCGCGCCGGGGAGGGGGCGGGTTCGGGGCGGGTTCGGGGCGGGTTCGGGGGGGTTCGGGGGGGCGCCGCGGGGTGGGCCCGGAGGGGTGGGCCGGAGCGGGAGCGTCACTGATCGAACTGCCGAAGACGGCAGGGGATAACCCTTCACCCACGGCCTTCCAAAAGCTTTTCCGGTGATTATGATTAATAAAAAGTGTCCCCCGAGAGAGGCGTGAGCTGGCTCCCTTTGTGCTCGCGCGCCAGAGTTCCTCTGCAGCCGTCGAGTCAGAAACGAAATCCAGAAGGCTGAAGCTACCGCCCGGAAAGTTTTTCATCAACTTGTAGGCTGCATTCTTGGGTCTGCATCCGCTCCGATCCGCTCCAAGGATCTGTCCTGCGCTGACTCTCTTTATCCCTCCCCTTTTCAAGCCAGGCCCGCGGCGCCTCTGCGCCCGGTTCGCGCCACGGCCACATCCACGCTGCCTCGCAGCGGGGGTACTTCCTCTCTTTCAGGGGCGGAGCTACCCCCGGCATGACCCGGCGCGGCACTACTCCTGCCGGGACTACCCCTGGCGGCACTACCCCACGCGGCGCTACCCCAGGCGTCCCTACCCCTGGCGGCACTACCCCTCGCGGCGCTACTCCTTGCGGCTCTACCCCGGCTGCCGGCGCGAGCTCCACAGGTAGATGGCGCTGGTGAATACAACAAACTGCCCCTTGTTTGGGTCCCACTCGGAGGCGATCCGGCGACACTACTGCAACACTTGAGCCCTCAATGCCGCTTTCCCACTCACCTGTACTGCCACACGACGAAGCCCAGGATCATGCTCGAGACGGCAATGCTGCATCCGATGAAGATCGCTGCAAAAAAATTCAAGCATTGAGTGGTTGTTTTTGGAATATGAGGGAGTGGAGATTAGACACCGAGGCCGCGGACTCACCCAGCTTGCCCACGTCGTCCATGCCGAAGAACCAGTGGTCCTTCGGGAAGGTGAGCTGCTTCTTGACGACGGGGAAGTCCTGGGCGGACAGGTTGGTGGCGCGGTCGTCGTCCAGCTTGCCGTCCTTGGCGTGCTTGGCCTGGTGGCGCGGCCGGTCCGGCTGCACGGGCTGCGTCACGCGGTCGCGCTCCTGGATCTCGCGCAGCAGCGTCTGCTCCGCGATGGCCATGTCCTCGGCGTCCATGTCCATGCCCTCGTCCTCGAGCACGTCGTCCTGGGCGGCCGGGTCGGCCAGCAGCCGCTGCTCCGCGGACAAGGCCAGGTCCACCATGCGCCCGGCGGGGCCGGCGGCGCTCTCGTCGTACTGGTCCTCCTGGGGCTGCGAGGACTGCGAGGACTGCGAGGACTGCGACGCGTGGCGCGCCAGGAACTGCAGGCGCACGTCCTCGCCTGCAAGGACAGCACGGTCACGGTCAGCAAGGCCGAACAAGACGCCCGGACCGCACCGCGGCTGGCACGGAGCGCCTGTGGAGCTCAGGATAGGCCAGCCCGCCCGACTCCCTGGCCCCCGGGTTGCCTACCCCGAGTTCCACAGGCGTTCTGCTGCCCGCCAGGGTGCCGAGGCGCACGCACAGTGGGCCAGAAGACCGATGGAGGCGGCCAAAATTCTAAACGCGTTTTGAGCTCCAGAGTCGCTACATAGGACTCGAAGCGAACGTGCGACCCCACCAATGGATTGGCCTCCGAACGAGGAATCCAACGGTGGGGTCACACGCTCGGTTCGAGTCCTGTTGAGCGCCTCTGGAGCTGAAAACGCGCCAGTGCCGGTCTTCTGACCCCTTTTGCGGCGCGCTAGCGGCGAGAAGCCCTCCTCGACGGCGATTCGAAACGTTTTCGCTTTACGCACCGGCAGGCGGCATCGGCTGGTAGAAGCCCTTGTCGGCCGGGCTGATGGCGAAGTCCGAGCTCTGGCTGGGGTGCGAGAAGGAGTAGGTGAAGGCGGGCTGCGCCTGCTGCTCCATGGCCTGCCCCATGGCCTGCCCGATGGCCTGCCCCATGGCCTGCTCGAACATCCTGGCCGTCTCCTCGTCCACCTGGTCGTGCTGCTGCCGCATCATCTCCTGCGTCTGGCGGTCCTGCGACTGCGCCTGCCGCTGGGCGTGCCGCTCCATCTCCTGCAGGCTGGCGCTGCGGATAAGGTCCTGCGGGCAGAGAGAGAGAGACGGCGTCAGACGTGGGCCGTCCCCTAGGGGTGCGGGGGGACGGGTAGACCGCACGGGGTGCGCCGTGAGGCGAACGGAACGGGGCTCGCTCCGACGCGACTCTTCTCAACATTCTTTCAAAACTTTTCAAACTATTTGTTTTGCTAGGAGTTTTAACCTTTGAAGACCCACCTGCTGCTGGCGTTCCCGCTCCTGGCGCTCTCGCTCCTGGCGCAGCACGTCCGCCTGGATGATCTCGGAGAAGACGCTGTCCTCGGGCTGGCCGAGCGAGCGGTAGTTCTGCCACTCCTGCTCGGTGCCGGTGGCGGCGGGCTGCAGGAACACGCGGTACAGGGCCTTGTCCAGGTCGGGCACCTTGGGCTGCTGCTCCAGGGCGCGCGTCAGGTCGTTGAGCCTGCCGGCCAGGGCCTCGTCCTGCGGTACGCCTTGCTGGGCTTGCTGGGCTTGCTGGGCGTGCTTAGGCTCCTGCTGCTTGGCGGAAGGCTTCTTGGCCAGCGCCTCTTTGGCCAGCTGGTCCAGCTCCAGCTTGGTCTGGTCCTCCTCCTGTTGTTGTTTCACGGCGGGGGTCTGCTGCTTCGGTTTTTGTTGCTGGTTTGCAAGAGCGTTCTGCTGTTGTTGTTTTTCTTGTTGTTGTTTTTCTAGTTGTTGTTTCAGTTGTATTTGTAGTTGTTGTTCTTCCAGTTCTGCCTGCATGGCGAGTGCAGCATCCACGGTCTCCTGCCAGAGCTGCTCCATTGCCTGCTCCTCCTGGGCCTGTTTCGGCGGCTGCGGCGGCGGCGGCTGCTGCTTCGGCTGCGGCCTGTTGAGCTTCAGCTGCTGGAGCATCATGTTCTGTTGCTGCTTCTGCAGCTCGGCCTTCTGGTGCTGCTCGCGCTGCCTCTGCAGCAGGGCCTCCTCGGCGTGCTTCTGGTCCAGCCTCTGCTGCTGCTGGCGTTGCAGGGCCTCCTGCTGCTCCTGCTGCTGCTTCAGCTGCGCCATGTGGAGGCGCTCCTTGGCGAGGTCCCTGCCTTTGGCCCCGCCGAGCAGCCTCTCCACGACGGCGTCCTCCGACTCGGCGGCCTGCGGCTCTGCAACAACCAAAGAGCGCGTCCACAACTTAGTCGGAGTCGGAACGAAAAGAGGGACAGAAAATGAAATGGGTTTCGTCGAACCATGAACCGTGAATTAAAAACACGCTGCGCAGCGACTCCATTTGTCGCGCTCTGCCCGTATCGCTAATTAAAATGAGATGAAAGGCAAACAGGACCGGCTCGTCACCTAATGATGATCGCACACAAAGAGGAACGCAGCGGCGCAGCGGTGCGGTGTCGAACCCGCGTCCCGGCACTTCAAACGGGATCCATCGCACACAGCGCCGCGCAGCCACGCGCAGCGCCATCGCACACAGAGGCAAAGCGCCCGGAACACCGCGGGGCGTGGCGGGGCGCGGCGGGGCGTGGCGGGGCGCGGCAGCGAGGACGACGCGTTCATATTAGTCCTGCTTGTTATGAAACAAACATCCCGCTCGAACAGCGTTCGCGCCGCTTCGCGCCCCCACTCCCCCCGAAAACTCACGCCGATGTGCGCATTAAGGACTCGCTACACTTGCGGGCGCTGGCGCGCCTTGTTTACCTCAAAGGAAGCCGCTTTTGCGCGATACGGGGGCAAGCAGGACCTGCCGGCGCGGCCCTTAGCACGTCCTGGATGTAGGCCGGGGTGGAGGCCGGGCTGGAGGACCCCTCCCCCACCCTCCCCGCGGAGGCCCAGGCCCAGGCCCAGGCCCAGGCGCAGGGCCCGGCACGTACCGCGGCCCGCTGCGGCGGCGAATCTAGGCGCGGCGCGGCCACGCAGACTTGGAGCGCTTCTCGCGGTCGCGCCCTCCCTGTCGCACGCGTACGGCATCCCGCGGGGGTGCGAGAGAGAAAGAGAGACAGCGTGGAACGGGGCCGCACGCGGACACGCGCGCCGGAGGCCTCGCCGGAGGCACACCGACCTGCCATGAAACATTGCAGGCGTCCCCCATCAGTCTCTCTCGCGCCCACCCGGCGCGCCCCGTGAGTGCGAGAGAGAGACCCCCCACTCAGCCAGCCAGCCAGCCCCGCGCCAGCCCGTGACGTCAAGCGGCTCTCATATAATGTCGCTGGGGCCGCGCGGCCCCCGGCACCCCCTCCCCTCCCCGGCTCGGCGGCCCGGCCCGGCGGCTCGGCCCCGAGAGACCCCGCGAAGGGCTCAAGGCAGGCGCCTTGCCGCGCCTCGCCGCGCCTCGCCGCGCCTTGCCGCTTGCTGTGTGGCCGCCGCCGTCGCCTTTCTATTTCGAGCCGCGCTGCCGCGCCTCGCATGGGGTCGACAAATTAAATTCATTGCCCCCGCCAAACAAAACGGATTTTTTTCCTTCACTTTTTCTTTGTTCGCCGCCGCGGGGCGGTCGCGGGGCGGTGGGGGATTATTTTCCACGGCAATCTCACCGCGCGCTCGCCGCCACCGTGCTTCTTGCGCTCGGCCGACGAGAGGAGCGTGCGGAGCGGAGACGGAGACTCCCGCGGACTTGTGCTGCGATTTGTTCTCTTTTGTGTCCGCCCCGGCGTTCGCCCTCCGCCCTCCCGTCGCGATACCAGCCGACCAGAAAGCCACTTGGAAGTGCGCGCGAGCCACGCGGAGCTACGCGGAGCTACGCGGAGCTATGCTCGCATTGTGCCGGGAGAACAATGACACAGCTCCGCGCTCGGCAGGTCGCCTCGCCAGTGGAGCAGCGGAGCAGCGGAGCGAAGTAGTGGAGCCTGGAGCGGGCGCGCGGCCATGGCAAAGCCAAGCCTCCAGCACTCCAGCCGCTGCAGCAGGCGCGCTCATCTCCATAATTTGTATCTCTGAATGGCCACCAAGTACCTCGGCAAAGATAGCAGCCACTGTTTTTCTGCCGGACCAACCCCTGCGCGCGCGAGCGCCAACAACAACAACGAAACACAGTCACTTTTTCGGCCCTCGAAAGTTGGCGGCCTTGCGCGAGGAGTAACTCGGCGGCGCCAAAGTTTCGTTGTGTCCGCGCCGATAAAGTGAGGTTTATAAATTGGAAACAATATCGAGGTGGGCGGTGCCGAGACAGGCAGACTGGCTCAGGCGGACACAAGCGCGGGAAGCGCAGAAAGCGCGGGAAGCGCAGAAAGCGCGGGAAGCGCGGAAAGCGCGGTACGCACCGTAAGCATCCCTTTCAGACCATCAGACTCTCAGACTTTCAGACGCACAAAGACCCCGCGCTCCGCCCCGCTCCACTTGTTTTACTCTTCCACTTCTTTTTCACTTGGCCTTAACTCGGCGGGGCGGGGCCGGGGCCGGGGCGGGGCCGGGGCGGCGTGTGGAGTCAGGTAAGAACTCTCACGTCACGTCCTCGCCGGAGCCAGGCAGAGCCCTGGAGGGCAAGAGAGGGGGCGGGGCGGGGCGGGGGATACAGCAGTAGATCGAACGAAATGACAACTGCTCCGGCGGGCCCCGCGTGGGGCCTGGCTGGCTGTGATTGCCGAGTTGGACTCGTCTCGGCGCTCTCGGGGGACAAGTTTCCCCAGCCGGCACCCTGCTGAGGTATGGCCGGCGATCACCGCTCCATTCCCCTCGACTGCGTCCTCGACTTCGTTCGCTCGACCTCCGTCGAGACCCTCGCGGCGTGGGAAAGGGAACGCGGCTGTTGGCGCCGAGAGAAGTGGCGTTGTTGTTGTTGTTGTTGTTTGGTGGTGGTGGTGGTACACCTTGGCTGATGGATTCTGTTCACAGAGGTGCGAGAGAGGCAATAAGCGGGGCTGACAGGCCAAACCAAGACGCGCACGGGAGGAAGGAGGGAGAGAGGCGGAGAGAGATGAGAGGGATGCTGCAGGCAGGCCCGCGGCCCACAGCACAACCATGGCACGGCACCCAACCCTACCCTTGCCTTCGAGTTACTATGGCTTCTGCTGAAATTTCCATCAAGCCCACGGACCGGGCGTTAAATTGAATTACTGCGCTGTTACGCGCCCTGCTCCCCCGGAATACAGAGCACGCCGAGACGGGGCTGGCAGGGCTGGCAGGCAGGCAGCCAGGCAGCCAGGCAGGGCGGGGACATCAAACCCCTCAAAATCAGGTCTCGTGGTCCGATGCGGTCATTCCAGGCCACACCGTGCTGCCGAAGGGTGTCCTCTGTGGCAGGGCGAGAGAGGGAGAGAGAAGGGGAGGGGGGTCGCTGGGGCCACGCCTGCCTGTGTCCTGCTGCCGGACAAGAGAGGACGAGACAATTTAAAAGTTTGACGATGGAGTGGGAGTGGCTCTCGGTCCAGTCTGGCTTGGCCGGACCGGCGGACAGAGTGGGTAGTCCCCCCTCCCTTTGCCCCGCCACGCTGGAAAAGGCGCCCTGTCCGACACCACGACCGCATCACCTTCACTAAACTTTCCCCCGCCTTTTCTTCTTCTTTAATTGTCCCGCCTCTTCCCTTTCTTTCTTTTCTCTGCGCCTCATGGCCGGCATCTGCATTCACGCTCCACCAGCGGCCGCCAGGCTCATTCCCAACAATGCCCCGTCGTTCTGTCTCGCTCGCACCCTCCTCGCGGAGCGGAAGGCCCCCGTGAGTGCGAGAGAGACGGAGCGACGAGGGCCCCACTCGGAGTCTGCAGTCCGACGCACGCGATAGACAGACAGAGGCTCCTGTTTTTAAATTCCGCGCCGGTCCCGAGTCGACAGCGCCGGCCGGCCCGGCCCGGCCTGCCTATCGCCGTCTCTCTCGCCCTCGCTCCGCGGTCTATTTGTCTTGCTTATCCGAGCCGTCACGCGGGCCACGCCGCCACGCCCAAAAGCGCGGGAAAAAAAAGGGAGGGACATCGGGACTCGAACGCCGGACCCCAGGGTCTGAGATCGACGCTCTTACGCTCTCGGCCATTGAGGAACACAGCGCATATTGGGTTTTAATTTCGGCTCCGTTTCTCTCCAGCCAGCCTGCCTCTGATGGTTCCGCCCCGCTTTTCTCCAGCTTCCAGCGGCGATGTGCGAAACTCAATTCCCGCCCAGAAGGCTATCGGCTCGAGCCGGGCCAGGCCTGTCTCGTGGCCCCCGCTGCCTGCAGAGCGCCTCTCCGTCGCTCCGTCTCGCTCGCACCCCCACGGCCCCACGGCACGCCCCACGAGCGCGAGAGAGACAGACAGTTGGTGTGGGCGCTGCCTTTGAGGGGCTCAACGCGGCACGGCGGCCGGTGCTGGCGGTGCTGGCACGCCACCGGAAAACGCGTCCGTCTACATTTTCAGCGGATTTTCAGCTCCCGGTTTCATAGGGGGGATCACTCCGCCACCACGCACAACCTCCCGGAAAGGCGGCCAACACCGCGGCGCCGACAAGCTGGTCGAGATGGAGGCGGATCCCCTACCGCCGCACCTCGCGGGGAGCGGAGCGGGCAGCCTGGTATAGTGTGCCCGGGCCGCCCAGGCCCAGAGGGAGATGTATGGAAATACCCAGACTGTTTGACGAGCAGGGTTGACGCGCGGGCGAACAGACGGGCAGGCAGACAGACAGACGGACAGACTGACGAGTGGAGGCGGTTCAGCCGGGTCCGAGGCCGGGCCGGGCGGACCACGTGGTGAGGCCTATCCCGCCCCGATCCATCAGGCTACAGTCCGCTGCGCCTAACTTTGTCGGCCAGCGCGATGCGCCATGCGCGGCAGCGCGCCGCCCCAATTTCTGTTTCGTACTTCGTCATGGACGTTTGGTGGAGCGAGGCGGGAAGGCCATGGATCGTCCCGATTGGCTACAGCGCTGCGTCCGGTCGCGGGGCAGAATGGGACCTAGTGGGACCCTACGTGGGCAGCTGCGCCAAGGCAGCACAAACACGAACCAATCCCCAGGTGGTGTCCGTTTCTCCTCCACGGCCTTGGTTATTGTTGTTCCTGTTGCTCTTGTCGTCCGATGAGAGACAGCGCGGCGAGCGTGGCGTGCGTGCGGGCCGTCGTCCCAAAAGGTTTCGTTTCCGACGTTTCCTAGATCCTCGTCCCTTGTTAAAACTAGACCCGAGGGTTTGGAAGCGTTTTCACGTCGGCGGGTTCGTTCATCACCGGGGCCCGCGAGGCCCGCGATGGCCGTGCTCCGTCCGTGTGTACACTGTATCCTCACCTGGTTGGGGCCACTTGGCGGGGGGCTCCTCTCTGGCCGGCCGGGGGTACTCTGCAAACAGAACAAAATAAATATGTCAGAATACATTGACCTTCACGTAGCAGGGGCGCGGCTGCGTCTAAGCACACGTGCCAGGCGGGCTCGCCGTGGGTGAATAGAGTGTGTAAGAGTGTGTGTGTCCACTGCGGGTGAGAGAGATCGCTGCAGCACCCACCACACTTTGTCCCAAGAAAATGGAAAGTAAGCGACCAGAAAACGTCAAAAAAACAAACAAAAAAAAACCGTCGAAAGTCAGTTGAAACTCGCTTCGTCTGGCGTGTGACACCGTTACGCCATCGCCACACCCTACACTGTCCTTATTTCCCGTTTTCCGCGTTCCGCGTTGCGTAATCCGCAGACTCGCTCCTCCCCGCCTACGTGCACGACGCGAACGCGGTGAACGCGGAGAACGCCGTGAACCCCCCGCTGCTCGCCCCGGCGCCTCGCTCGCCGCGCCGCTCGGACAACCCATCTCGAGATCTTCATTTATATGATAAGAGGCCTTAATTACACCCTTGTTGCGCTCGGCCCGGCCCGGCCCGGCTCGGCCTCCACCCACGCCACCGCAGGCCTCCCCCTCCCCCTCCCCTCCACTCTCGCAACTCCCTCCCCCCGTCTTTTCCTCTCCACGGGCAGCCCCGGGCGACTTAGCCGAGTTCGGCTGCGCCCGGCTGCGCCCGGCTACGCGAGGGACGGTGCGGCCTCTGCGTACCCACCTGGTAGTTAGCAACAACAACAGGGAACACAAACAGGACCCCGGCAACACACGGCGGCGCGGCGGCGCGCTGCCGCAGTCGTATTGCGTTTGGGGCTTTAAGGAGCCAACCGACCTAGCCCGGCCCAGCCCGGCCCAGCTGAGCGATTCCGAAGAGTCGTTTCGTCGCTCTGTCTCTCTCGCACTCATGGGGCACTCCGTAAGGGTGCGAGAGAGACAGAGCGACAAAGCGATCTTCTGAATCACTCGGCAGCCCGGGGCCGACCGCGATGCGGGATGGCTCCGCTGGGCTCAAAGCAGGCTCTGGCGGCGAGGGGGAGAGGGGGAGGGGGAGGACCATGCGCCAAACCACATCCCTCGCCGCACCGCACGGCGCGTCGCGCGGTCCGCAAAACGGCCGGCCAATCCCACAGTGGAGGGCACGCCGAGGACACATTCCGAGGACACGCTCCGAGGGCACGCGCATTCCTCAATAGGTCAAGAGCAGGGGAAACAAAGCCTGAAGAGACGAGATGCTATACGTAAGAGCACCGCGGGCGTCTTCGTCTCCACGCACAAAGTGTCCCCTTTCCTCGTCCTTCGAGCAACGCTCTTATTGAGTCTCACTGACTGAGCCAGCGAATCGGCGACCTTCTTTCCAGCTTGGTCAGAAAGACAAATTCCAGAAGACAAATATCGTGTTGTTGTTTTTCTTTTGCGGTGAACTAGCGAGTTCGGCAGTGGATCACCGCCCCCGCGGTGCGGAAGTTCGTTAAGCTGCCTGGGGGCTGCCTGGGGGCTGCCTGGGGCTGCCTGGGGGCTGCCTGGCAGGCCTGGGCCTGGCTCTGACTGGGCTTGTTGCTTAACCACCTGTTGGCGAGGACTATCTTTAGCCTAACGTCTCGCTGGAAATCCCCGTTGCGTGCCCAGGCGTGCCAGGGAATTCCCTGCTGCGATACACAACCCCCTCCTACCCCCCCCCCCTCTTCCGTTTGCGTCATTGATTCGGTAAACCTTCCGAAGGGGGAAGTGGACGGGTAGTCACGCATGACCTTTAACGTGGACCAGTGTGTGTGTGTGTGTGTGTGTGTGTGCAAAGGGCCAGTCGCGCACTCCAAATAGTGGCCCCGGGGAAAATGATGTGTTCCCGGCCGTGCCGTATCCGGGCGTGCCGTCCGACCGTGCTCGCCCCGTCCATCCGGTTGGCTGGCCTCCGCTTCGTTCCCACTTGACTTGGAGCCCTTGTCTGCCTTGTCCCGGCGCCGGGCCCTCTGCTTCGGTCCGCTTCGGTCGCATCGCGTGCTGCTCGGCTCGGCTCGGCTCGGCTCGGCTCGCAGTGGGCTGAAATTCCCCCGGCTATTTTTAGCAAGACCGCTGGTCACGGTTTCCGACTGAATAATTACAGCCTGCGAATCAAAAATGCGTGCTCGGCGCTCGGCGCGCACGCCACGCTGGTCTGCACACGTCGGCGCAGCGGACAGGACAGGCACTGGGTTCCAATCCCGACGTTCATTAATTTTTAATTCATTCATTTTTTTTTCGCTCTGACAGGGGTTGGACAAGGCGCGAGATTTTGTCGTCTGCTCCGGGCATGGCCAGGCACGGCCTTGTTGGTCGTGCCAGTCTCGAATTAGCCTCATAGCCTCGCCCCCTTTCTCGGCCGGGAACCCCCGAGGGGGCCTCGAGACGCCTAGACGCCCCCCGGGCCCCTGGTGGCCCCGGCCCGGGCCCGGGCATTCTCACCATTCTGATCGCCTCAAACTATGCAGCCCCCGAGAGCCGGATCCGAGAGTAGGATTCATCCCCAGGATTAGCGCGCTCCGGGCGGGGCGGGGCGGGGCGGTGATGGCTCGCCCCGATTACGCTCCGTGTCGCGCGGGCTTAATGAGCTCTTAATTCACCCCTGTTAGCAGCGGGAACGCCAAGGCGAGATCCAGCCGTGCCAGCCTTGCTGGCCTTGCTAGCCGTGTCGGCGGAGCCTTTCCGACTGCACAGCCACTCCACCCGAAACTCCAGCACCAGGCATCCCCGCAGACAGCCTCCATTTTCTCCAGCGGCATCCGCGTGTCCGCGTCCACGTCACACATTCCAAAGTGAGTGCTCTGTCACGGCTCTCTGCCTACTTTAAAAAGCAAAATACGGTTGAGTTTATTCTGAAAAGAGAAAAAGAGACCTGAAATCTGTCACGCGGTGACCGCCTTATCACAGTGCGGGAAATGCTTTTTTTTGTTTTGTTTTTGTCATGACAGGCCACGACGTGGCCTTGGCAGTGGACCCACAAACCACTGCCCTGCTGAGGTCTAAGCTGCCTGAGCGAGCATTCTTTCCTCAAAGCGACCCCTCCTCCCTAGATTCTTTCCAGGGCGCGGGGCGAGGACGCGAGTGAGGGAGAGGGCGAGGGAGAGGGCGAGGGAGAGGGCGAGGGAGAGGGTGAGGGAGAGGGCGAGGGAGAGGGCGAGGGAGAGGGCGAGGGAGAGGGCGAGGGAGAGGGCGAGGGAGAGGGAGAGGGCGAGGGACAAGGAAAGGGCGATAACTCGAGGCCGCCTTGCCGCGCGCTCAGCCCTGTTTATTGCCACCCTTCAACCACCTCACCGCCTTCCAAATAAAAAGCTCGTCTCCGCGACTCGGGACTCCGAGAAGGCGGGGAAAGCGCCAAAGTGGCGCGCGGAGCGGCAGCCGCGGCAGCCGCGGCAGCCGCGGCAGCAGAGAGAGAGAGACGCTAGAAATAAAAGACAAAATACAGAAAAATAAAAGGAGCATCCTTGTCACCGTCCCTGGAGCGTGGCGACGTGGCGCTCCACACGGTAAAAACGGTTCCTGGTTTTCCCAGGAACCCCCTGGAAATCGCCTATGTCTTCGCCATAGGGCTCCTGGGAAAACCAGGCACCGTTTTTACCGTGCAGGAACCTGCCCCCAACGCCCAGAGGCGCCCAGAGGCCCGGCGACAGCGCCCCAGAGGCACGGGCCCGCACAAGGCACAGCCCCCCGGGGAGACACGTCCGGGACGGGGCTACGGGGCGTTCGCGACGGCCGGGGCCCCGTCTGGCCCCGCCTGGCCCCGCCGAGGGCCGAGGCCGCGTCTGACAGGTGGGCTGTCCGTGACAGTTACAGCTGGCAGGCCCGCCCCACGCCCCACCCACCTGGAACCGCCCTGGAACGATTTGAAACCGATCCGTTTCCGTGGAGCAGATCCACCGGAAGCTGGGGCGCTGGGGCCCCGGCTGGGGCCGCTCCGGCAAGGCGGGGCCGGGCCGAGTGCGGCCGCTGGAACCGGGCGCTTCTCAGGTTTCCGTCAGCGAAATCGTTGGCGTCGTTTACAGCCCGAAGTGCGTCCACAACGAGCAGAGCGTAAAATGACCAAAAGGACGAAAGGCTTGCGACGCAGAAAGGCGCTCGGGACGGCGTCGAACCACGGACCTGGCTGACGTGAAGGCTACGCTCGTCACGAGTGCTCGCGGTAAAATAACAGTCCCGTCGCTGGGACTAAAACGCGGGTACAATTTTCTAAAAGCATACAGAGGCGGATCCTCCCCTCCTAGAAGCTGCTAGGGCTGCCGGTGGCGCGGCGGCGCCGTGCAGGCTGCGTCCCATCCCCCCCCCCATTCCTCATGCTTCCAGGCCGTCCACGCCCCACCCCCACCCCCCGTCCGGCCCGCGGCCCCAGAAGGAGGCCGAGCCGGGTCAGGGATGACGTCGGTGAGCTTAAATTGCAAAACATAGCGGCGAGAACCGCCAAGGCGCGCCAAGGGACGAGGGCTGGCTGGCTGGCTGGCTCTCTCATCCCCCTCCCCTAAAAAACGCCCGCCATCTGCGAGGTAGGCCATCCCGCCGCGCACGGCCGCGCAGCGAGTTGCCTACGCCACCCATTGCGGGCGCTCTGCAGGCCGACTCTGAAGCTGGGCTTCGTCGCTCTGTCTCTCTCGCACGCTTCGAAGCCAGCCTGCCGCGCAGGCAGTGCAGTAGCGCACAGTGTAGTGTCGTGGTCCGCCGATGGGAACGGCCGAACGGGTGGCGCTGTCCCGTTAAGTGGCACTGCAGCTGGTGCCCGCCCGTCGCGCCGCGGCGCCGAGGCGTGAGACAAGACACGTGAGAGAAAGGGAAGAGAGGACATTTCCGACTTTCCGCAAAAGATGCTCCAAATGTTGTTTTTTTTTTTTTGCAGTGTCCGCGCGCGGCCGGCGCGGAGGAACGTCTCCGACTAATTTGGCGGGACTCCTTGCCTGGAGGCCTGGAGGCCCTCCTCTGGGCCGCCGGGGCCTTGAGGACGCCGTCAAGGAGCCGCCAAAGAGCTGGCCTGGTGCAGCACGCCGAGCACGCC